GAGAGAGAGAGAGAGAGAGAGAGAGAGAGAGAGAGAGAATGAGAGAGAGAGAAAGAGAAAGAGAGACAAAGAGAATGAGAGAGAGAAAGAGTAACCCTACAAGTGGGGTGTTTTTTGCACGTGGCAGACGTGCACATTGACACATGAGACCGTGCACGTCAGAATTCGAATCGCTCGTTGGAAAAGGTTTCTTGCCACACGAGTGAGAGAGAGAGAGAGAGAGAGAGAGAGAGAGAGAGAGAGAGAGAGAGAGAGAGAGAGAGAGAGAGAGAGAGAGTCTAAGCTAGTGCATCGCGTGGTAGCTGGCAAGTGGCAGCCAGGTGGCAAGTGTAAGGATGACGAGTGCACCACGTGGCAGCTGCATGGACGACATCGACGGGAATAGGCCGATTGAGGACCGAATGGACCACGTGGCAGATGCACGAACGACAGAGAAGAGGCCTCACACATGCAAGTACATGGGAATGTCACGTGTCTCCCTGTCTCTCTCTCTCTATCTATCTATCTTTCTCTCGCTCTCTTTGGATATGCAGCACACGTGCAAGCACGTGGCAATGCCACGTGTCTCCTTCTCTCTTTCTAATGGCAATGAGTAATGTTTCCGAATAGGCCGCGCGTGTGTATAATAATTGAGAGAGGGACAACGAGAGAAAAAAAGATTAGCATGTACAGGAGAGAGACGGAGGTAGAGGCCCGAGAGAGGGAGAGATTGAGACAGAGAGAGAGCGAGAGAGAGAGCCAGAATGTGTATAATAATAATAATAATTGCAGCCAATTACTCGTTTGTGTTGATTGAATCTCGAATTTGGTTTTCTCTCTGTTTAACTCTCTCTCTCTCTCTCTCTCTCTCTCTCTCTCTCTCTCTCTCTCTCTCTCTCTCTCTCTCTCTCTCTCTCTCGATCAATCAATCAATCAATCAATCAATCTATAAATCAATCAATCAATCAATCGGTGAGTGTGTGTGTGTGTGTGAATTAGTTCTCATGTTTGGAATGCACTCATAAAATATGAGTGTGTGTGTGTGTGTGTGTGAGTGCATGTGTGTGTGTGTTGTCAGGTTCCGTTGTTTTATTTCTTACTTCTCAAATGTATACATCGATTGATTGATTGATTGATTGATTGCATCATTCACGTGTGCTCAACCTTCGAGTTCGACGGGGATATTTCTTTTTTTTTTTTCATTTTTTAAAATTCATTTATTCCTTGAGTGTTGGACTGATTGTCTCGTTCTCAAGGGTTTGTTTCCCGCGACTGTGATCAATCAATCACTGAACCGATGAATCAATCAATCACTGAACCGATGAATCAATCGTTCAATCGATCAATAAACCGATCACAATATATCGTGATTGATTGGTTGATTGGTTGATTGATTGGTTGATTCATTGGTTGATTGATTGGTGGATTAATTGGTGGATTGATTGGTTGATTGATTGGTTGATTGATTGGTTGATTGATTGGTTGATTGATTGGTCGATTGATTGGTTGATTGATTGATAGTCCGATCGATCGACTGATCGATTAATTGATCGATTGATTTATCGAGCATGGGTGACCAATGAAGTGATCAATCAATCATTAAACCGATAAAAAAATGTCGAATTGATTGATTGGTCGATAGTTTGGTTGATTGATTGGTTGATTGATTGGTTGATTGATTGGTTGATTGATTGGTTGATTGATTGGTTGATTGATTAATCAATTGTTCGATTGATTGATTGGTTGATTGATCGATTGTTCAAATGATCAATCGATCGAATGATCGATCGATTGATTGACCGAACACGGATGACCGATGAATCGATCGATCAATTAATCAATAAACCGATCTCAATAAATCCAATTGATTGATTGGTTGATTGATTGATTGATCAATTGATCGTTTGATCGATTCATTCATCGATTCATTCATCGATTCATTCATCGACTGATCGATCGATTGATAATTTGATCTAGCACGAACAACCTTTGAACGAAAAAACAAAAAAACAAAAAAACAAAAAAACAAAAAAACGTCAGTTCTCTTCCTTCATCAATCAATCAACTAATCAATCAACCAACCAATCAATCAATCAACTGAACAATCAATTCGGTTGATTGATTGATAAATTGATTGATTGATTGAATGATCGATGGATTGATTAATTTATCAAGTTGATTGATTGATCGATCGTGATCGGCGTGTGGATTGAAAAAACGATGAGATGCGCCCCTCTTCCTCCGTGAGAGTTTCCATCCACGAGGACGCGATCACCTCAGTCCTCAACTTCCAGTATGCGCCCCTCTTCC